TGTTCTTCCTTTGTGTGCGACGCGGGCGTCTCTGCGCAACCTATCGGGGAGGGCGAGGTAAAGTGAATAACCAGGAGCAGCAACCAGGGCTGTCAGAGGAGAACACACATATGTCAGCAGTGAGGAGAGGTTACTCGCCCGTCACCACCGCAACAACGCATCAGCGTGCCATAAACTAACACAGTAATCCGGCAGAGTGACGCGTTTCGTGGCGGTGCAGTCAGCAGCAGGACACAGAGGCAGAGTCAAACCCGCACCTGTCGCGCCCAGTTCACCGCGCCGCGCTTCCACTGTTCCGTGCACAGGGCCAGTCCTTCAAGAAAAGCCTAAGAGTCTGCATCAAAAAAAAAAAAAAACAAGGCAGTGAGACTGCACCACCGCCCCCGCCCCCGCCCAATGACTCACTGCCATCGGAACACTGTGCGTTGGACCGTCATACGGCCATCCTTCTCCTACCCTCGGGCCGCTGCGACCACCTGCTACAAAAAAAAAAAGGAATGAAGGAGGGACTGCAATGTAGCGCTGCGATTGTGCATGCATGTGCAAAACAATAAAAAAAATCAAAACCAAAACGGATAACGCTGGCAGGACATAGCAGAGGAGGCACAAAGAAAAGAAAAAAAATGAAGAACAAATCAAGGCCTGCTCCCACACTAGTGGGCATAGGAACCAAATGAGAAAATCCGGGACCAGGCCCACTCACGCACAGAGAAGAAAGGGAAGAGCACTTTGTAAAGAGTCTGGCATGCATGTTTCCGACTCCTTCTTTTCAGCAAATTGGAGCAAAAGAGAAACTTGTTTCATTTTTAAACCACAACGGGGTTGCGTTCCGTAATCATCAAAAACCACCTCTTACTGGTCCTCCTTATGCAAACAAAAAAAATCACACACTTGTGGCCTTATAGGTAGAAACAAGAGCAGTGGCGTACTTCAACAGCCTCACGAGCGGAGAAGCAAAAGAAAAAAAACATACACACACACAGGCACAGGAAAAAACACTATATAAAACCAACGGCCAAGCAGAACGTACACAACAGAAGCTGTACAGTATACATAGCACAAACGACAAGCTAACTACTTCTCCACAT